AATGTAAAACCTTCTTCTATGTCAGATAGCAAGGTTTAGGATTGTTAAGGATCGGATTATCGAGTCATGACTGTATTCCTAGTTTTAGCATTTAATCACGGTCTAATTTCTGAACTGGATGAAATGAGCAGTAATGCAGGAATATTCAACACCTCCATTAGACTCAAACTAATTTCAGTAGTTTTCCTCGAGATGTATGAAAGTTAGTTTCACGTTACCAGGAGGTTCAGAGAAAAACTCAGAAGCCAATTTTTTATAAGGGTTTGATTTCATTCAATGGAAAATTAATATTAAATATTTACATTATAGTTCAGCAAGTGGGGCAACAGGGTCATGGAGGCTTTTTTGTGGTTCCTGCAGTATGACTGAGGTTCGTGTTGTACACTATGCGTCACATCGTTCTGCTACTTCCACACTGTTGTCAGCAGTTGTTACCAATGAGTTTAGTTCGAGCTCAAGTTACGAGTGCACAGCATGAGTTGTGGTTGTTGCAAGGTTGTTTATAGTTTTCATGGAATAGTGGGAATGAGGTCATGCCTACAGGCCGGATATTCTGATCCAGCTGACATGGAGCCAGCTTGGCTCCTTACGTACAGCATATGTACAGAACAGCCTTGACTACTGATAACCTTGAGTTATGTGAGTAGCAAGTCAACTCCAGACCCAGTTTTGAAAAGGCAGTGGTTCTTAACATCGTATCACCTGATATAATGATGTGTATTCGAGCTCTGTCCATGGAGGATACGGAACACAACCAAAACTTTAGTCATACACAAAATCTGTCATTTAGTCACTTGCCATTATAAAGGCCCATGTGCTTACCTTGAAAGCTACCGACTGACAGGTAAAGCCAGGTGAGCGCTGGGATGAAGAGCAGGGCTAGGGAGGCCGCCAGGAACTTCCTGCGCCCGCGACACATTCCCAGCATCCTCTGGAACGAAGCTAATGGAAACAGAGGTAAAGTGACCTCTATGTGGGTAGCAGCTGTTGTCCAGGCTGATTCATGGCACTAGAAGAAAGGAGAGAGAAGGAAAAACGAGGTTAGAGAAGAAACAGACATTTCACATATAGAGACACAATTACAGCTGAGCTCATGACCTCTGCAGCGACTCCGTGCAGGAGAAAAACATCTGACCCTCTTGAGCTAAGCACGATTCTGATCATTTACTCAGCATTCTGTAGAGTTGCTAATTATTTATAATTCTAGTGAGGCACACACTACATATGTAAGCTGGTATACTGGCCTCCTGGCATCTGACACAACTGAAGAAGAAGCTGCACCAGCCCCACGTTTTAACACGGGACTGCTTGGACCGGATCCAGCACTGTGTCTAGTGCTCACAGAGAGCTGGTTTGCTGAGAGGGCACTAAAGGCCAAAACATTTATTTATTTTTTTTATTTTTTAGAAATTAAGCTTAATTAGATTTTCAACAAATTTGGTACACGTACACTGCAGGGGATACCAGACCTGCATACTGGAGCTGCTGAGATCATAACGTGTTGTATGTAACAGTGATACCTTTGGTCAGATTCAGACACAATCTGTTCCCCAGATTCAGGATGTATGAAGCATGTAATGTGTAATTATTAAAAATGAATTGACCTGAAGTGAATATACTTTCATTAAATATCTAATGTGATTGTGTGTACCGGTACTGGGGGACAGTAAAAACAGAGGCTTTACAACGACCCTGGATTTACACCAACTCTGGCATTGTAGGTCTGAAGAACATCATATATTGGTGCAATAATTAACTTTCAGTAAGTTTTACATTAAACACGACCGATACTGGTTGATGCAGCACCGCAGCGCTGAAGGTAAAGAGCAGCCCTTTCTGAATGTGCAAGAGGAGATGAAGGCATCAACTAAAATCTATATGATTNACACCCTCTCTGCTTTAAGGTTCAGCTTAAACCTTCCTCTGTGATAAAGCTGATAGTTAGAGCTGCTCAGGATCACCTGAACTGTCCCTTCATGATGCTGCTATGGGTTTAGACTACTGAGGGATTCCCATGATGCACTGGGCTCCTCTCCTCTGCTTTCTCCTCTCTCTCTCTTCCATACAGCTAAACACCACCACTACATGTCACTGACTTTGTGTCTTCTCTCTCCTGTAGTTTGTGTTTTGTTCTCTCTGCAGGTGTCTCTGGATCTGGAGCTCCACGTCTCTGATCTGCACTCACTGGCCTCACTGATCTCCAAAGTTATTATTCTTTACTTTTGTATTATTTGTCTGTCCTCCATGTACTGTCACCACCCCAACCCGTCCCCCACCCCCTCACCTCCACCCTCACCCTCAGCGGTCAGGGTCGATGGCCGCCCTCCCTGAGTCTGGTTCCCTCTGAGGGATTTTTTGTCCTTTAATGTGAAGGAGAGTTTTATGTTGACATATGTTGTGAATTGGTGCTATATAAAATAAACTGAATTAAGAACTGAACTGAATTGAGAGGCAGGGTGAGAGAAAGGAAGGGAGAAGGAGACGGTGTGAATGGGTGAGTGCGAGCCACTCGGAGCACATTGTTCCTGTCTCACACATGCAGGCCTCACCTACAGCCGACGCTCCCTGCAGCCAGGTTCTTTCACAACTTATCAGACTCTCAGCATTTACTCACCACCGCTAGGAATTTACTGCCAAATCTAATAATTACTTTGCAGACCTTGGTGACTATTGCATTATGGGAGTGTATTCACATATGCAGTCTCCAGTGACTGTGACCCAGAGTCAAAATTGTCAATTTAATCATAATTAATAATGGCACTACTGCAGCATTTCAATCCTGTAAGTCAAAGTAATTAAAATGGCTCCAAGAACTTGTGGACTATATTGTCTGGAGGAAGTAATCAACTTTGGACAGGCCTCAGTAATTCATTAATATACCACCTCCAGAAGCGACACAGGAGGGAGGGGTGACTTTGACTATAGGAAATTTGTTTCTTCAGACTTTCTGGGACAAATCTGAACGTTTAATATCGAGGCATGGTGTACCCTGAGAAAGGACAACTACGCTGTTGTTCATTCACAGCAGATTTCATAATTTCTGTAACCTAAACACAGTTGTGACTCGATAATCAGACACTAAATGTAAAACCTTCTTCTATGTCAGATAGCAAGGCTGTCGGATTGTCAAGGCGGAGGTCCAGATACGAGGAGGGCTTGATGCTGGAAGGCTCATTAGTTGTTCATAGTTGTTAGAATAACTAGTAGGGCTGGTCCCAACAGCACTTTCTGCTCTCTGGATATTCAGACCTAGTTAATGATGAGTATCTGTATATTCGGTGCGGTCGGGGGACACTTCCACCCCGGGGCAGCGCTCTGACGGGGTGGAAGTGTCCAGAACACACAGGCAGTACTTGGCTGCTGATGCTAGTTTAGTTAGCGCTCACACTTCTGTTTCCTCCATCGGTG